AGAGAGAGAGAGAGAGAGAGAGAGAGAGAGAGAGAGAGAGAGAGAGAGAGAGAGAGAGAGAGAGAGAGAGAGAGAGAGAGAGAGAGAGAGAGGGAAGAAACTTTAGCAGGTAAGGAGCAAGCAGGCATGTGCCAACCTCACCGCAAAATATATCTTGAATGATCGAGTCATTTCTCGACTTGTGGAATTCCCACGCCTGCCTGGCCAGTGTGTGCTCATCCCCCTGACTATTCACTTCCTTGTACCCTGGAATCGTTGCCACACGATTGCACTCCTCATGCAGTCCATCCAGCAGCATCCTCAGAAATTCCTGAGAATCGTGTTGGTCCATTCCACAATACTGAGGCGCCCATGCCTGAACGCGTTCCAGGAACTCGCTTGGGTTCACCGGTGCAAAGTACTGTGTTCCACCGGACCACAGCTGCTTGACGACACCACGGAAAGCTTGCGCAAGTCCAACATACCTCCGAGAGGTAAAGCTTCCGCTGGCCGAGAAACTGCCACTCCGCATGCGCGACACTGCATGCGGTTGCGTTGGATCAGACGACAGAAAGGCATCGACTAATGGAATTGTGTGGCTGAGACATTGCAAGCAGCTGTTCATGAAGCACGTGTTTCCGAGGTTTTCGAGACCGACAAGTCCCTTCCCTTTCCTCTGCGGCTTCCTCAGACCTCCTCCATCTCCTCTCTCTGTAGTCCAGTCATCACCTCCCCCCCTCCCACCCCCACCACTGCCTCCGGCTTCATTGCTGCTGTCCCACTCTTCTCGTCCTCCTCCTTCTCTTCCTCCTCTCCCTCTCCCTCCTGCTTCTGTTGTCCCGCTTCTATCTCCACTTCTCATCAGATCCTTATTTCCCCAGCTATGAGAACCCTTGCCAAATCCAGAGCCACTTTGGGTGACACCCTCTGGACAAGGAGGGTGAGATGAACGTGGAGTTTCGGTTGACGACCCTGTGGATGGCGAACTATCATGGCCCACCAAGGAGCAGGACATCTGCGCACAGCCCCGCAGGACTGTCGACGGCGACGCAGAAGAGTCCACGGACGGTGAACTCCTACTCCCCAAGGATTGCAATGACGACCGGGAACATCCCTTCAGAATGCCCAATGGCAGTGGTGACGAAGATGAAGACGACGATAATGATGATGACAGGGACGATGAAGTGGCCGATCTACTTGGACGAACACTTTGCCGCCTCTCACTACTACAATAATTTGTGGAAGAAGCAGCAGAGCTGCTAGGCTTTCTGCTTCTCTCTGAAAGGTACACGCCCGTCCCGCCAGCACGACTACTTCCCTTCCCATTAGGGGATGCAGTCTCCGATACAGTAGAGCGACCAGTGTACGACTTGCCAATACTGGCAGCATTAGCAGAGGGTGTACTGCTACCGCGAGGTATGGATCTTGTACCTCCAGTAGTGCGCTGTTCCGTGAGCAAGCGGCCATGACTTCCCGCAAGGATGTGTGGCGAGGGCGATGACCCTGGCGACAACGAACCCGTTGCAAGCTCGTCTCCTTTTCTCCTTGGAGCAGTAGTCAGGCCACCGTATCGGCGATCAGGAATGCTCTTGTTCATGGGCTCAAAATCTGGGTGATGGTGGGACGAAGGCTGACGTGTTGCAACCGACGACGACGACGACAATATTACGGGGTTCTCACTCAGAGTCTGTAGCGAGGCCCCGCTTCTATGATGCAATCGCAGAACACTCTCGCGATCGATATGTAATTTCGGCACGGACGCCCCTGCCGATGGTAGCCCCAAAGGGGATGCTGGAGTGCGCCGACGAGTGCCATCACCCCCGCCACTGTTCCCGCCATTGTCATCATGATCGTGCCGGCCATGATGGTCATAATGAGACCAACTGCGGCTCCTGACCTTGCTCTCGCTGAGCGTGGTTCTTGTCCTTGAACGTAAGGATTGCAGCTGAGATGTTGGCGACAACGACTTCCAACCGTCCAATTTTCCGGCCAGTAATGTGCCCTCTTTGCTGCAGCTGCTTGACAATCTGTTCTCAGCATGTCCGAAAGGTGAATTGTTATCTAAGAGAGGTCCCTCTCGACCAGGTAATCTAGCATTCAGACTGCCGCCTCTGGGTTTGACTGCCGCCGCCGTTGCAGCACCCCTGTCCCACAGTCTACTTTGCCCGGCAGCTGACCCGGCCATCACTGGCGGAAGACGTCCCTACAACTTTTCTTTGGCTGCAAGATTGTTGCATCTAGTCCGTTTGTCATGATTAATATTCACGGCGTCTGCTCTCCTGTCTTCTGCATAACAGTCGCAACAAGAGGGTTGCAGCACCGAAGAAAACAAATGTTTTTTGCAAGTTAAGATCATCATGCTGATTTGGAAGTACTCTTGTTGGTTCTTTCACACTTCTTGTATCAACAACTCCCCTCTCTTCACTACGCAAACAAAAAAAAAAAAAGCAATGCCATTCACACTTGTTCTTGAAGCCAAAAATCCAGTTTCACACCTGGCCTGTCTTAATGGGCAAAGTATCCAACATTGACATTTCTTTTCTTTTCTTTTCTTTTTCACTTTCCTAATGCAGCATGCGATTGCGACTTGTTTAAACCATTTCCAGCAGGTAATGGGCAACAAACTCTGGGGGGTGCACGACCCGGCCCAAACTTAGCTAATGCAGGATGCCATTGCGACTCGTTTCCACTATTTCCTAATGCCAAGGCGGTGGGCAACATCTTGGGGGTGCACGGCCCAGACCAAACTTTTCCTAATGCAGCGCATGTGATTGCGACTTTTGTGCCGAAGGGGCCTAAACTCAAGAACGCGCTAACTCATGAAAGCAGGTTGGGAAAGAAAAGACAAACAGACAGCTGTGAGGAGAGGACACGCATTTGTTTATCCCAATCTCAAGCCTACTCTCGAAATTTGAAGGTGCCGTCGAGAGGTAGGTGGAGGTCTCTTGGAACTCACTTATTTTTTTATCAGTTAGGATTTCGGGATGCTGCAGTTCTCTCGAGGACCTCGGGAAACTCTTTCTTGACAAACCTCAATCTTTTTTTAATCAGTCAGAATTTCAGGAGGCCGTGTCGCAAAAGCCGACCTCTAGAAAAAAGTGGTTTCGAGGGTGGTCGGGTGAGGCTCTATATCCTTGAAGATCGCATTTCCTAAGGATTCTCTTGGGGAAACTCCCAACTTAATCCAGCAGCCGAAGATTTAGAAATCAAAGTTTTGGGTTTAGAACTTTAGAGCTTAGTACCTGGTCCCTTTGGTCTCAGGGTACCGACGACTTAGGTTTCACACTTTAGGGGTCTTTTTCTTTTTCTTTTTCTTTTCTTTTCTTTTCCAAACAATCAACTTCATATTTCCAAATGCATTTAGGGGGCATTTGGTCTTAGGGTACCAATCACTGAGGTTTTCGGGTTTAGGAACTTTATGGGTCTTTAGGTCTCAGGGTACCAATGGCAGACGTTTTAGGGTTTAGGAGTACTTTGGTCTCAGGGTACCGCTGGCTGAGGTTTTAGGATTTCAGCGGTCCTTTGCTCTCAGGGTATGGAAGACTGAGGTTTTAGGTGGTGTTCTGGTCTCAGGATACCAATGGCAGAAGTATTAGGGTTTAGGGGTCTTTTGTTCTCAGGGTACCAATGACTGAAGTTTTAGGGTCTAGGGGTTTTTTGGTCTCAGGGTACCGACGACTTAGGTTTCACACTTTTGGGGTCTTTTTTTCTTTTTTTCTTTTACCGCAAAACAATCAACTTTATATTTCCAAATGCATCTAGGGGGCATTTGCTCTCAGGGTATCAATGACTGAGGTTTTAGGGTTTAGGAACTTTAGGGGTCTTTTGGTTTCAGGGTACCAATGGCTGATATTTTCGGGTTTAGGAGTTTTTTGGTCTCAAGGTACTGCTGGCTGAGACTTTAGGCTTTAAGGGGTCTTTTGCTCCCAGGGTATGGAAGACTGAGGTTTTAGAGTTAAGAGGTGTTTTGGTCTCAGGATACCAATGACTGAAGTATTAGGGTTTAGGGGTCTTTTGGTCTCAGGGTACCAATGACTGAAGTTTTAGGGTCTAGGGGTTTTGGGGTCTCAGGGTACCGCTGACTGAGGTTTTAGGATTTAAGGGTTCTTTTGGTCTCAGGGTATGGATGACTGAAGTTGTAGGGTTTAGGGGTCGTTTGGTCTCATGGGTACAGATGACTGAGGTTTTAGGGTTTAGGGGTCTTTTGTTCTCAGGGTACCAATGACTGAGGTTTCAGGTTTTAGGTGTTTAGGGTTTACCCTTTAGGGTAGTGCAGGTCCTTTGCAGTCTTTTTTTTGGAGGGGGGGAAGGGAGGAGGAACCCTGCAGTTGATTCTTAAATAAGCATTGCTCGTCAGGATTTAGGTAGGAGTTAACATCAATGTTTAGGGGTTGGCAATTTAGGGATTGGGGTTTAGGATTGAGAGTTTAGCGCTGTTGGGGTCAGTATAGGATTTATAAAACTGTCGGGTGTCTTTAAAAGTATGTGGATTTGAGTGGTACATAGGGTTTAATAAACAATAGGGGTTTAGTATTTAGCCTATTACAGCTCCCTGCTTGAAGTTTAAGGGGGTTTTAAATAAATGGGGCTAAAAAACGTCCAAAAAGAAAAAGACCTGAAAGTTCTGCTCTGGGTGGGTTTATCCTACAGCTCTCTCTCAGCGACTATTGGTTTATAGAGCTTGGGTTTAGAGCGTGGATTTAGAGTTTAGAAACCGTGTTCTTAGTGACCCATGCTTGTTACTATAGTTTACGGTTTAGGTTGGGTTTAGGTTGGGTTTAGGTTGGGTTTATCCTATAGCTCTCTCTCATAATATTGGATTTATAGAGCTTGGGTTTAGAGCTTGGCTTTACAGTTTAGGAACCGTGTTCTTAGTGACCCATGCTTGTTACTATAGTTTACGGTTTAGGGTTTACGGTTTAGGTTGGGTTCAGGTTGGGTTTAGGTTGGGTTTAGGCTGGGTTTAGGTTGGGTTTAGTTTGGGTTTAGTTTGGGTTTAGGGCTTTCATTATCAAGGGTCAGCTTGGATTTCGGCCTCAAAGTTTAGAATTTAGAAACCCTATTGTCACCAACAAAGGCTCAGGGTTTACATTGGATTCGGGTTAGGTTTAGGGTGGGTTTAGGTTGGGTTTAGGTTAGGCTCAGGTTCGGTTTAGGTGCAGTTTAGGCCGGGTTTTGGTCAGGTTTAGGGTTTCTTCGCACGCATGCATTTTCATCCATGGGTTGCAAGCCGGATCTTCTTGAAGCACGACTAGGGTGGAGTGCCCACTTTTTTCTCTTGGCAAGGGTGACAATGGTGGTGTGGAATAGGCCCACAATAGATGCGGTGGGAGGTGTGGGTGGAGGAGAGGACAGAGGCGTGGATGGAAACTTTCTTTATATCCTTTTAGAACAACTGGCGCCTATTATCATCTATCTCCTACCTGTCTAAATTGAAAAGATTATCTCACCCACCCCCCCAAATAGAACGTAGCACTGCAATCTTCAAACGCAAAGCCCCAATTGCAGGTACTCTCCTCCACTGTCCCTTTATAGGGACAAAAAAAATTGGATGTAATCTTCAAGGGGTAAAAAAAAAAGCAAGATAGTGGCTTTGCAACCAGAAAAACGAAAAAAGGAACAGCTAACTTGTTTGGTTGTTGTCCTTGGTACGGACGAACCTGTGCTTTCTTATCTATATATATATTGATTTTTTTTCTTTTCTTTTCTTTTCTTTTTTTTCTTTTCTTTTTTTTTTTCCTTTTTCTTTTTCTCTTTTTTTTTTCAATTAGAAATATTCGATTCCATTCATCTAGCTCCATCTGGATTCAAACTCAGGTCTGTTTTCAACAGTTGATGGGTGTACGAACTGAGTTAGGCCCGTCAGTGTATTGGCTCTTTTGCTATAGCTCAAAGGGAGGTTTTCATTGGTGCTCCTTTCTGCATCCCACTGGTCCCACTGGTCCCACTGGTCCTGCTAGTCCTGCTGGTCCTGCTGGTCCTGCTGGTCCCCCTGGGACTGCTGGTACCACCGATATCACTGGTCCTGCTGGTCCTGCTCGTCCTACCGGTACTGTTGGTCCCACTGGTATCGCTGATACTGATCGTGATGGTCCCACCGGTACTGCTGATACCAAGGGCACTGCTGGTACTGCGGCACCCGGAACTGGATTTCGTATATGTGTTACATGTAAAAGGCCACAAAACAAGTACCAGCATGGCTACACTAGAAGTATAGCTACATTACAAGTATGGGTATACCATGTTATACTATGAGTGTGCAAGGTGGGGGCAAGGGAAAGATTGGCAAGCAACCATGATTTACTTTTGTCAGGGCTATGCTATAGTAACCCCGTACTGATGCTATACAATGGCTTTGCTGATACTATAGCAGCTGCACTAGACGCTATTGCCATGCTTATGTTTGCTCTATACTATGCTATACTACAGGAGTTCAGGGAGGAAGGGTTTCAAACATTGCAACATTGCTAGAGCCATACTATAGTAGAGCTATAGTCTATGGGAGATAACCTTTACTTTGCGGTATGTTTATGTTAATAAGCTATCCTATACTATAGTAGAGCATCTATCAGGCTTGATTTACCTTGACCCTTGGCAGCAAGGACCCTTCTTCAATTTGATGGAAAAACAAGGAAAAGATCATTACCAGCGGTGTATATTAGGAAGGATAAGTCTGAAACAGACTCGATAAGGTTTCAAGCTTCGGCCGACACTTCCAGAAATCCAGTAAAAGGATCAGCAGATTTTCTCCCCAAAAAAGAAGACAAAGATTCACCTTCAGGAAAGGGAAAAAAAAAAAAAAAAAGAAAGTCCAGTTGATGTAGCTCAGTGGTTAGAGCACCGGTTGGAAATGCGCATTGTGGTATAAGGTTGCAGGTTCAAAACCCCGCAGCCTTGCGCATGGACACCGGCAGGGCGTTAGATTGACGCACGACTGGACACACATCCCCTTGAGCTGACGCATGGTACTATTACAGACACTGCCCGCGCACCACCCAAGGATAGTCCACGGTGTTGTATGTTGGTTGTGGGTTTCACAGAGTTTGCTTGGGGTGTTGGTCTCGGGTGTTCTGATGTTCTCCCCAGTCTGGCATATCACACGATCATTCCATTTCCGGTAGTTGCTCATACGGTAGAGTCTTGGATTACATGTTACAAGGTCACGGGTTCGAGCTTGGTTCGGTCCTTGGGGGGTGTCCTTGTCCAGCTGGTCCCGTTCTCTCCTCGATACATGATTCACAGAGTACACATACCTTTCGGGCATACACACATAGCTTGCGAATTATATATCGCTTACAGGTTACATACACAAGTTTCCACACATGATACTGTCTACACAGAGTCACAGAATATATACACACAAAAAAAAAAAAAACAGGCTGGGGAGCTAGTCACTGGTGGGGTCTAGTGCCTGCAGTAGGTTCAGGTAGGTTGGATAGGGTGCCATTGGGTGCAGTTCCTACTGACATTCGGATAGAACTGTCTGGTGGCTATATATATATGGGGCCTGTAGTTCATTGTCTGGGCCTGGCGTCCGAAGTTCCCATTTCACAAGGTTCGACCAATTCCGATTCCACCAGGGCTGGGCAATCTATCAGCCCTGGTGCCTATCACTGCTGTTCGGTCCAAGTTGCCTGCCCGTTGGT